GATATAGATAGATAGATATAGATAGATATAGATATAGACATACCTCATGCCAAGTCCACTTTAAAAAAAATTATTTAAATTGGCAACGCTCCTGCTCCAGTGATGGCTCCATTTCCTGGGAGTAGACTGAAGCTGATCACATTTTTTATATAAGCTATGGTGGAGAAGAGTTACAGGAGCTGGAATTAGAATAGAGCTGAGCTTTGGAATCTGGAGGTCGAGATGACTTTCTGCAACTGCTCTTAGCCGTGCTACTTCACTTCAACTTTTATACATTTAAAAGATGAACTGCAGGTAAAGAAAAAAACAAAACCCAACACAACTTACCCTTGCAGTGGGGCTATGCCCACACTACAGGGGTCAAGTGCTCGTTTTGTCTAGGGGGGGTCAAATGAAGCTGCCTTGCTGACCTAATGCTGGGTCCTGAAGTGGTACGTGCTCACCTTTTTTCTTTTCCACCGCTCCAGCTATAGAATGTCCCTCAGAGTCCTCACATTTAATGCAAGTCAGTGGGCCTTCATTAGATGTGCTGACATAAGCGGCCGTTAGACTGCCAGAGCCTGGGGGAGAAGAGGTTACGGGGACTGGTCTAGCAGCACGGAGGGTTTGAGAATCTGGCAAGTAAATCTGATATATATATATATATATATATTACACCTCATGCATGCATGCCAAATAATGTGCACGTGGAACATCTATAGGTCTTTTATTACTTCTCACAGAGACAACAGTACAACACCTGGCATCTGTTTTTCCCTACAAAAGAATAGCCATCTTTGTTCAGGCATCATCCATTGGTCAGCATCTACTTCCTAGACTGAGACATCAGCAGCCTCCATATTTCCTTACCCTTGCACTATAAAGATGTCTATCTCTATATAGTGCCTGGTATCCGGCTGTGTACATTAAGCCCTCATTCACACTGTAATCGTCCCGCACCTACAGCTCTGTGCATGGCCGTATCGAGCAGCTCCCGAGAAGGACAGGTGCTGCATGTGATCAGTACGCAGCCTCCGTCCTTCTCTATGGGAGTACACGGCCGTACACCCCCCTCCGCTCACCCGCCCTGCACGTCCGTGCGGGTGAGCGCACTTGTACGCTGACAGGATGGATCCTGTCTGAGCCAGGAAACACGCACCCCTACGGACCTGCACTTGAGGTGAGGGTGGCGTACGGCCGCGTACTCCCATAGAGAAGGACTGAGGCTGCGTACTAATCGCACGCAGCACCTGTCCATCCCGGGAGCTGCTCGATACGGCCCTGCATGGAGCTGTACGTGCGGGCCGATTACAGTGTGAATGAGGCCTTCCTGTCTATGACCCGTCCAAAAAAAAGCCACCACCTGCTAATAACAGCTAAGCAAATGGGTAAGAGCCTTCCATTGGATAACAGGTCTAGGCTCAGCAACATTATGGGCCCAAAAAAATGAGGTCAGCTGCCTACCTGAATATACTAAATGACAAGGTTTTTCCACCAATGGATTTTTTTTTTTTCCTTCCCTGATGGCACGGCCATATTCCAAGAGGGCATTGCCAGCATTCATCTGGCTCAAATTGTGAAAGAATGGTTCAGGGTGAATGAGACATCAGTGGGATGTCATTGGGAGCATGAGACATCACTCTGGGTTGGACTTGATGGACGTATGTCTTTATTCAACCCCAAATACTATGTAACTCTGTGGTGGATTGACCACCACAGAGTCCAGACATTAACCCCATTGAGAATCTTTGGGGTGTGCTGGAGAAGACTTTACATGGTGCTCAGACTCTCCCATCATCACTGCAAGATCTTGGTGAAAAATCAATGCAACTCTGGACTGAAATAAATGTTATGACATTGCATAAGCTTATTGAAACAATGCTACGGCCAATGCGTGCCGTAATCAAGGCTAAAGGCGGTCCAACAAAATATTAGAGTGTGACTTTTTTTTTTAAGCATTCAATGTATAAGTTCACTAAACATTGAAGGTGACTGGATGTATGTACAGTAGGGAGTGTCCAATGATTCACTCTGAGATATGTCGGTGTATATGTGTCAGAACAGTTCAAGAGACACACATTATGGAGAATTATAGACAGGCTAGTCAATCATTAGCTCTAACTGTAAGCTGCAAAAGAGGAAATGCCAGAGGAATCCTGTCATGAGAAGATTATGTAGGCTGATGTGGCCGACCTCTCCTGAAGATTGCTGGACGCCAAGCTCATCCTCTAGCTTTCTAATATTAAATGTGGATAATGAATTCTGACTTCACTTGTTACATGATTGTGCCAAGTCAATGTCTTGGTTTTAGGCCCAGGGACAGTTGGGGAATGAGCATTTTCAGAAGGAAGTCTACAATAGCTCTGTACAAGGATTTAAAGGATATCTATACCCAAGAACAAAATTGCGATATGTTTCAGCTTGAAAGCCCTTGATGTGGTTGGCTGCATACGCTTTTGTTTTTCAGGCTGCTCTCCCTTTTTATTTTCACCTGGTGATCCTGCCAGTACCACACTTTCTGTCCTATAGTGGCAACCAGGGTCGTCATCAAGAGTAAGGCCGCCACTCTGCCCAGCTCCTAGCAACCAGTGACCTCACTGGTTGCCAAGATCTGGGCAGGATGCATGCCAGAGCTTCCCAGGTTGCTTTGAGCTGGGTGGAGAGCTGTATATGGCCCTTACACATCTCCCCTACGGCGCCCTTGTTGCCATGGCGCCCTGTGCGGCCGCACGGCTCGCACACGCCTAAGGCCGGCCCTGCGTCTGGCTCTTAGCAACCTGGGGTGCTTTGGCTGGAAAGTGGGTGGCAGGCACACTGTAAACATTGTGCAGCAAAGTGCCCCCCCCACGTGACCCTAAGAGATGCAGCCTGAGGCAATGAACTTATCGAACAGATATAAGAAAATGTTTTCAATGGTATATTTAACAAACCAAAAGGAACCAAATAGGAAAAGTCAATTGTCGGGGGTTACATGCTCTTTAAGTTGTGGAGATTCTTTTGGCAGTGGACATGTTTAGTGATGTCGGCTTGCTCTGTGTATAGATTTTTCAGTGATGTCGGGTTTGCTTCATTTATAGACATCTCGGCATATAACTAACATCGCATGCAGCTATTTTCTGTTTCAGAGAACGAATGCCTGTGTATCCCTTTGTAAATGTTTATATTCTGTTGCCTCGGCAACTGTAGTCCTTGTATATAGATTAAAGGGAGCCTATCACTAGAACATACAGGATAAGACACAACATGCCAATACATATTATTCTTCTGTGTGTCCCAGGACATATTACCTGAAGTTGAAGCATACTATCCCTGCATTTCATAATGCAATGCTTCTTAATCGGTCTCAGAGGCGTTTGCATTTCACTTTGGGATACGGGGTTGTCCCATTCTCTGATTCAAACTCTTCAAATTCTCTGCTCACTGAGTTTAAGGGCTTCTGCGGTGCACAGAGAAATTAGTACAGTGCAGCAGAATCTTGTGGTATCAGGTTCCTTTTGAAAGTCTAGTCCACCAAAGATAATTAATAAATTCCTAGGTTCACCCCATTATGGATTGGTAGAGTGGATCTAATCTAGCCTTTGTGTCTAAGGGTGAATGTATATCTTTCATGCAGATGTACAGATTCACAACACCACATGAGACTAAAGGTGGCCATACACTTTACAACCCTCGCAAGACTTTTGTCTTGCGAGGGTTGTAAAGTAATTTAAAAAACTTACGATCTGCCCATCTTGGACAGGCAGATCGTACTTGCGATCATCGCAAGTCCGCCCCCCTGCAAATGGGCAGTGTGCAGGTTTTCCAGCCTGCTTGTTCGACGGAAGACGTGCGACCGTACAGTAAAAACGATCGCACGCCTTCCATACACTTTGCGATTATCGTACGATCGCGGGAGTTCCCACGATAATCGTGCAGTGAATGGGCACCTTTTCCCGCGATCGTGCCT